GGATTTGTGGGCAGAGGGATTTCTGACCTACCCAGGTTGAATGAAGGGTAGAGGGCGGTCTGTTTGTTTCAGTGCTGTGGTCTCCAGGGCACCTTCTGTAGTACTTTGTATTCTTAGAAACAGAGTCACCACCTCTTGGCAGCAATGAAGCCACTCAGATGCCAATGGTCAGAGTTTGGTTTCAAGTCACCAGCCTTGTAGAGGCAGTGCCCGATTTCCTTTGGCAAAGACAGCCTGCCCCTTCTCTGTTGATTTTAGCCTGGAACACAGAGGTAAATTCCTCAAAATAGAAATCTTTGAGTACTCTATCTGATGCATTTGTGAATCATGTTTGTCCCTAATTCTAATTTAACTTCAAACAATGTTTAGTTTTTTTGTTGTTGTTCCTTTCCCAAATCAACTTTCAAAAAAAAGTTGATTTAACGGTGTTAGAAGGGCTTAGGCATTTTCTTCTGGGGGACAGTGTGATTGATGTTTGCAGCAAACGCAAGGGCTGTGGTGTTGACAGATCCAACTTTCATTAACTCCAGGACTATTCCTGGATGTGTGACCTCAGGCAAGTCAGTTCATCTCTAAGCTTCTATTTCCTCATCTGTAAAATGATGTAAATTAAGTCCTTCCAGTGTTGCCATGAGGCAATGATTACCTGAGATCACATCTATAAACAGCACATTGCTCACAGAGCCCAATGGACACAAGTTCTCTTCCTTCCTTAAGGCACAGGTGAGAGGCCCACACACTGAACAGCTGCTTATGATGGGCCATGGTCAGGGATTTGAGCAGTCACTCTGCTTCACTGCTTGCTCCCAGCTCTTGGCTTATTTGTGTTTCTTTTTCTTAACTAGGCAGGAGGGCTACCTAAAGCAGGAAAGTTCTATTCTACCTTCGGATCTAGTGAATCTCACATGATAAACTATAACCATGGTGAATCTTAGCAGCTATCATTTATCCAACTTGAACACTTATGGTTTGTGTTTTTTTTTTTTTTTTTTTTTTTTTTTTTTTTTTTTTTTTTTTTTTTTTTTTTTTTTTTTTTTTTTTTTTTTTTTTTTTTTTTTTTTTTTTTTTTGAGACAGTCTCTAATCAGTCAGGCTGGAGTACAATGGTGCAATCTTGGCTCACTGCAGCCTCCGCCTCCTGGGTTCAAGCAATTCTCCTGCCTCAGCCTCCTGAGTAGCTGGGATTACAGGCATGGGCTACCATGCCTGGCTAATTTTTGTATTTTTAGTGGAGATGGGGTTTCACTCTGTTGGCCAGGCTGGTCTTGAACGCCTGACCTCAAGTGATGTACCCTCCTCAGCCTCCCACGTGCTGAGATTACAGGCATGAGCCTCCAAGCCCAGCCCCTATCAAACATTTCTTATATGCCAGGCCCTCTGCCAAGCACCTTCTGAATGTTAGTTCCTTTAATACTCACAAATATTACAGGTTTTTATCGCCACTGCACATGTGAGAAAACTGAGATTTCAGGTTTGTGTCTGGCTTCAAGGCGTTTGTGCTTTACACTCAGCACCTTGCTTTTCAGCTGTACCTTCATGGTTCCCATCGGTATGCGGTAGATTTTACCCCCATTCACCTTCTTGACTTCTTGACCTGTAGAGGTCAGGGCCATGGTCCCCATTTCCAACAGTACAGTGCAGGGACATTTTCATGTTAAGCACAAAAACTTCAAGTTTTCCAGCTTCTTAACTTCACCCCAGCTCTAGGGTGGCCCGGGGCAGTTAGCGAGGCAGAACAGCTGAGAGTGAGGAGCCTAAAGGGAGACTGGGATTCAGCTCAGTGGGTCCCCAAAGGTTGTGACCCATGCCTCCCATAAACTCACTCCCTGCAGAGGGCACTAGAACGGACAGAAGGGTGCCTCCCAGAACGGGGGAGGTCTGAGAGCTAGCTGCAAGCAGAGGTGATTAATCAGGATGGGATGGATAGAACACAGCCAGTTGTCTCAGTAATGAAGAAACAATGCCTTTTGCCCAGTACTCCACATTCCACTCTCTGTCTCTGATTGCCTTTATACCAGCGTCTGTGGTCACACCTTTGCCCGTGTTATTTTTTTTTCCTTTTGCCCACTGAGATTAGAAAGACTAGAAGCTGCTTAGCAGCTGACTGTGCCTCGTACATTTCCATGGGCTGTTGTTTATAATTGAAAAAGTGATGTGGCAACATTTGAGAAAATATATAAAAAGCTCAAAGATACTCCTACCCTTATAATCCCACCTCTTACCACCCCCATTATCTCACCTCCCTAACACAATGGCTTTTACTTTTAACCATTTTAACTTCCTATTTCTGCCTTTTTTTTTTTTTTTTTTTTTTTT